CGTGCCACATTGGTTTGAATTGAAAACTCCAGGATAGAAACTTAAGAGGAGGACATACTGGCTGCTGCCTTGTTGACTGAGAAGCCAGCACTTCAACATAGCATGTTACCTTAAAGTCTGATGATATAGAAAGGTCATTTATTGATTCAATTTAGTAGATATCCTACATATTACTCCATTAAGCTACTTTGAGGAACTTTTGTTTTGTGCTGGTGTGCAAACACTGTGGGCAAAGTGGTACTTCTTGTCTCTCAGTTTATGTGCATACATATGTTTTCTGATGAAAGATTTTCTTTTACTCTGCTTAGGTAAAACTCTCATGGTCATTGCAGGGTCACAAGCCAAAAAAAAAAAAAAAAGGTTTGCTTATGGAAGTATCTTGTTCCTTATGGTCTCATTTTCATGCACATATAGACATTATCTTCAATCTGTTGCAGTTGAAAGCTTCTGACTTTATGTAAATGTAACGATGACAACACAAAAGGCATATCAGATTGTTAATTTGAAAAGGTTACCAAAATAAAAGTCACAAAGCTTCCTTTCCGCAGAGTGTTGAACGAAGAGCGATGATCGATCAGTAAAATTGAGAAGTGCCCGTCAAAACAACTATGTTTTTAAAAAACAATGTTAGCAATCCTTCCAATGAGTCAGAGGTCTTCAGTCACACAGTTCCTCTGGACCTTGAAGTCAGCAGATAAAAAAGTGCTGTTCCGATGAGTTAAGACTATGAAAATACTTTAAGTTTTTCTACTTTTAAAGTTGGTTTTAAAGTTCATTTAAGAGCTGATAGTCAACTCAATTTGTGGAATAGAAGAAAACGAATCACAGAATATTGTGAAATTTGTAGATTTTACATTTTTCTTACAAGAAAATCAAACATTTGCTGCTTTCATCGTCTTCATTGTGAGGATTCTTGCTTTTTTTGTCATTTTTTTAAATGAAAATTCTTTAAAGTTTGAACTATTGCCTCAATAAAAATGTCAATTTGAAAATTTCAATTTGGGCTCTAGGAAACTGTACTGCCAACTTGTACAACTTATTGAAATTTTAAAAATCATACTAGTCTTCAAGAAAACAATCAAATGGCACAGCCATACATGTCCATTGTCCATGCGTTTATCTTCAGTCGACTTGAGTACTGTAACAGTGTCTTTACAGGTCTGCCTAAAACATCAGTCAGACAACTGCAGCTGATCCTGCTAGAGTCCTCACCAAGACCTTTACGCTGGCTCCCAGTCTGTCAGAGAATAGATTTTAAATTTCTGCTGCTGGTTTATAAAGCGCTGAATGGTTTAGGGCCAAAATACATTAGCGACCTTCTGATTATCTATGAGGCATCTAGATCGCTCAGGTCGTCTGGAACAGGTCTGCTCTCTGTCTCCATTCAGAACCAAACATGGAGAAGCAGCGTTCAGCTTCTATACTCCTTATATCTGGAAAAAACTGCAGGTCTGCTGAAACTCTTCGAGTTATTTTAAATTGAGGTTGAAGACTCACCTGTTTTCAGCTGCCTTTCATCAAACAATTTCACAATTTATCTGAGAGATTTTAGACTATAACTGTAACTTTTACTCATTTTTTCAAAACTCTTTTTATATTTTATTTTTCTTATATTATTTCAATTTATTCAATTTCAATGAATTATTATAAAAAATCTGTTTTCACTGATTTTTTCTTTATTGTTATACAATTAATTTAATTTTGAAGGTGCACTATGTAGTTTTAGTAGAGAAATTTGAAAGTGGGAGAAGTGTACAGATTCTGTGGTATATATTCATTACTATGTACATTAACTGTTCTCAGAGGAAAATTTGGTCCCTGGAAAACTGTTAGAAGATTAAAATGTTACGCGAGAAGTTATGGTGGGGGGTCCGCAACAGTGAAACCGTAACTCTCCTGGTAGCTTTTTAGTTCCAAACATTGTTCCAGGGACCCATTTTTTCTTTAAGTAAAGTTTGTGTATTCAGTTCAGAAAATATAGCATAGAATTGTTTTACTTCTCCAACTTTCAAATTTCACCACCAAAACTCCATAGTGCACCTTCAATGATTTAAATTGTTCCTGTGATTATTTATTGCCTATTTTGGTGATTTTTCTTTTTTTTTTTTTTTTTTTTTTTTTAATGTTTCTGTTTCCATTTGTCTAGTGCTTTTTGTTAAGGTATTTGAATTGCCTTCTTGCTGAAATGTGCTGTGCAAATAAAATAGCCTTGCCTACAGTGGATTCTTTCATTGCAGTGTTGAAGAAGAAACCTGATCTTCGTGTTTGGAAACCACTTCGACTGTTAGTGTTGATGAACGAGGAGTTCAACAAAGCAGATAACCACTTTTTGATGTGTCACCTCTCACCAAGACAGAATTATATAATTGGCCAACCTGTTTTCGAATGTCTGCCCTTAATTTAATTTTAAAGTCAATGCTCTGAGCTCGACTTTATCCTTTACCTTTTGGCTCTGTCTGCACGAGCTCGGAGTGACATGGCCTTCTGTTCCTATGAACGTCTTTTCATAAGCAGATTTACGGAGCAAAAAAAGTGTAAACAGAAGGAAGATGCTGCCAGTAGATGAGATGAGAAACATACAGCTGTAATTTCTCACCGTTGGCTGCTCAGCTGCTAAAGGACGTTGCTGGATCAACGATGCCTCCTTATCAGTGCTGGGAGAGAGAGACCCAATATGTATAAACTGCTATTATATCTTCTGTTTCATATGCAAATCAAGTGGTCACATGTGCAGATCGGTTTCATACCAAAAAAGATAGCCTCTAGCTCTGACACCGACCCCTTGAACAAGTTAAATGGACTGCATCGATGGAAAGATGAAGGAAGAGAACCGATACTTTTAGAAGTAAAGATGACTCATGTGAGTCACGCTGACATACCACTGGACTGTCTGGTTTTTAGGCTGTTCACACAGTTAAAGCACGAGATAATTATTGTTTTGCATATCTTTCCGTCAGGCAAATATACTAAGGAACACATGAAAGGGATGAGGAGCGATCTGCAAGCAGCCATCTCTTCCCCGACACCCTGCACACACTCCCCGCTCGACACCAGCAGCTCCGTCAGCGCTGCTGCTGTGCGCAGCCCTCTGCTCGTAAAGCACAGATTTATGAGGGAAATTAACATATCATTAACATACCACAGGCTCTCTTAAAAGAAGGTTATTTATAATTAGGTGACATCAGAGACACTGGCTTGCATGGTGCTGGAGACGGAGAGGGGAAAGAGGAAGTTGCCACCACTGGAGGCCCCAGAGAAGACTTTTTTTTTTTTTTTTCCTGTTTTGTTGAAAAGAAGAAACTGGGACGCCAAACCTGTTGTTTCCTTTGTGCAATGTGTTGGGGAGACATGTGGGGTTTTTGCTGTCCTATTTCTCGCCATCAATAACTACATACTGGCCTGCTTCTGTTGGGCCTGAATGGCCTGTGAATCCCCCCCCCACTGTTTACATGGTTTGTGTTTCTGTTGCTTTCTAAGTGATGTGTGCATTTGCAGATGAGTGAGAGGAGCAATTACATGTGCCCTTCTTTCAGGGGTTGGAATGTACACTCACCGAACAACATACACATGCTCTTTAACAGTAAGACAGAACATATAATACTTAATCTAAAAGCTAAACCCAGTAACTTTGTACTTGTTGTCATGGCAACAGGTGGCTGCATCGATGTATGGACCTCAGGGAAGGAAGCCTGCTACTTTTTTTTTTTTTTTGTATTTTCTTTAGCCACTGAAAGCAGCCAGTGAAGCGAGATACTACCGAGTTTATGTTGTTGGGAGACGCAATATGAAATGTCAATCTGGGACAGCAGTTGTTTTGAACAGACTTTATTGGCAGCACCAGCCTCAACATGTCTGACATGAAAAGCTGATTGACTTTTTTTTTCATTTTATCAACATCAGATGTTTTGGGTTCTCTAACCATACAGGCGCATGAATCATTTTATTTATATTGACAGTTTCTGAAAATAAAGACACAAGATATCAGCGCTATAAACTATGATTATGTGTCACTTTTTTGGATTAGTCCTGATGGTTTGTGTCCTGTCCTGTGTCCACCGAGTTAACTGCGTTCCCGTTGCAAGTCGGAAAAGCAACATGGACGCCTCCAGGGGTACCTTTGTTTTGTTAGCTAATGCCAGAAGATAACACACTAGGTGATAGTTTCTGACTGAAAATAACATGACAAACCTCCACAGAGAGAAAGACGACTAAGCTGCTAATAAACACAGTTACAGCTTTAACATCCCTGTTGATGCACGGAGCAGTCGATTTGAAATCGGGCTAATGAAGATTCTCAGAGTTTCCGAGTCAGTATTCCGACTTCGGGGGGCGTTCCTGATGACGCATCACACCGGCAACTCAGAATTTCCAACTTCAGAGATCAACTGGAATGCAGCAATATATAAAAAACTTGTCCCCAGTTAAACTTTATTATCGACGTTATTTCTTCATTTTTGAACCTTTTTATCTTTTTTTCCAACTTAAACAACACCGACCTTGTTGGAAATATCCAGTCCTGAAACCTGCCACAATATGTTCCTGATTCCCAGAGGTGGTTGACTTCATTTTAATGAATCCACAGTGATCATGCGTGTGAGATAAAACGCAACAAGCAGAGCAGAAGTGGTGATAAATTTGTCTGAGAGCACACACTCAATCTGTTCATTGGTTACGAGGACGGGCAGCTGTGTGAGGACGAAAGCAATCGCTTCGATTTGACAGCCGCAGTCAGGATTGTAAGGATTGACTGTTTGCAAACAAAAGTTTACAAGAACCCACATAAATATTATCTCTTCGCTTCTCTGTTACTCTGCCCGCACTGAAGCATCTCACCTCATTATGTAACAGTTATGGAAACATCTGTGCCGTAATCCTCACCCAAATATAGAAAAAAAAAAAAAAAACAAGATAGATGTTCCTGACTGTGACAGCTAACCCCTGCTCATTCTCTAGACAGAAGATATATGATAGCAAACTTGTTTTTTTTTTTGTACCGTCAGGAGGAAGAGCTACGGCAGAGTGGAGAGGCCAAATATCAACACCTGAACGAAGACCTGCACGTGCTCATCGAGGTGTTCGCACCGCCGGCTGAGGCTTACGCCAGGATGGGTCACGCTCTGGAGGAGATCAAGAAGTTCCTCATACCAGTAAGTTTTCTTCTTTCCGTACACACACACACACACACACACACACACACACATTTTCTCTCTGCCTTGCCTTTTCCTCCTCCTGAATCTCTGCTCAGCTGCTCTTTGGCCCCGGCAAACTCATTTCCAGCCTGTCCACAGTGAAACCAGTGAGTAACAGCAGAGACAACCTGCTCTTTCACACACTCTCTTTGTCTGTTACTCGCGCTATAAATTCTCTCAGGGCAGTCAGAGCGTGTGTGTGTGGAAGCATCTGATTCAGTGTGTGTGATCCTCGGTGGGAAGTCGTGGGTATAACAAAATAAAAAAAAGCGCAGGAGGGAATCTCTGCACGGGCCAAACCCTCGTTGGCAGCAGCATGCAGCATGGAGCTTATTTACTCTTCCTCCATTCATTATGTGTGATATCTCCAGCGCTTAGAGATATGATGATTTACATCTTAGCATTAATTATGAGCCGACCCCTTCCCCCAACTACCCCCATGTCTGTTTTCCCACTGCTGCCATAAAACATATTTATTGATTAAACAGACACATGACAATAATATCAATCATTTTGAGATAAGAGACGTCTTTCCAAGCTAATTATGTGTTTTAATTTAGCGACAAAAAAAAACAACTGTGTGAGAAGATAAAGGCAAAACGGGGTCTCGAGGATTTATCAGCGGGAGATCTGGAATGTTTTGCTGCCTCAGGAACGGCGGTCACGGCAGCACTGTAAAGTACATTAATTAGATATTCCCGGAGCTGTAGCCCTGGAGATAAAGGGAGAAATTTAATACAGTGTAATTGAAAGCGAGTCTATTGCTGTCTGCGTGTGTGTGCCCACGCTAACACGCTGCCTCTCTGTGTGCAGGATTACAATGATGAGATCAGACAGGCCCAGCTGCAGGAGCTCACGTACCTGAACGGCGGCTCCGAGGACGCCAAGGTGCCATCGGTGAGGGGTAAGGCAGCCGCCCGTGGAAGAGGGACACCTGTTCCAGGGCCTCCCAGGTAACCTTCTTACAAGTGTGTGTGTGAAAGAGTGTGTATAGGATTTTGTGTTTGCACTTTAGTTCAGCTTGGGAATTGGTATTATTTACAGTTAAGGGGCTGCTTGGAAGGCTTTGTGGACGTGTACAGTATCCTTTTGCATTATGGTGTCATTTAGAATAACAGCGCATTAAAGACTGCCTCTGTCTGGTGCAATAACAGCAGAATAAGAGAAAGAGGTGGATGTCACTTTATATTTTCCACATTCTAAGCTTTATTTCTTGGTAGAGGGCTCTGTGTTCTGAGTTCAAATGCTGAAACAATTACAGCCTTGCTAAATTTGTCTGAACAAATGTCGCTTCAGTTCTCAGTGTGGTACAGAAGTGCATGTATTCACTAAGGCAGCTGCTCATTACTGAGTCAGGATCCTGGACTGATCCTGGGACTGCTGTCGTGACACATGCTGGGAGTGAAAAGAGAGTGCATCCAGAGGAGGGGGGGGGGTTTCAAAAAACACATTTAAAACATTTACTTTGACTGAAGTTGTACTTTTTGTGAGAGAAAAAAAACAAGGTTTTATTCCTCATTACGTTATGATAAAACATGCTCTTACCACCTCTAATATTAATGCAACAGAAGTGGAACGGACTTGAAATTAAAAACAGATTTATTAAATATAGTAGCAGCTCCATCAGGTATAAGTGGAGATGATGCTGATACAGTGGTTACTGTGCAGGCATACTGAGGTAAACCATTTCTAAGCTCGGTGTCTTGTGAAAAACAGAACAGTGCTGTTGCATCATACTGTGATTTGTTTTGTTGTTTTGTTTCTATTGGTGACAAAACATGACAGAGCAGTGACATTAAAGATAAACCAAAAGAAATTCAACAAAAGCTGCACAGTGACACGTTTGACAGTAAAAACAAAAAGGTTTGCAGTCATGAGTGAATGTTGAAGATTAGTTTGGTAGTGCAGATACTTTGGAGAGAGAATAATATACAATTATAGTCACACAAAGGAGAGAGGAGAATGAGGAGGAACTGGATAAAAGAGTGGTAAAATAAAAAAGGCACAAATAGTTGATTTCATTTGTGTGAAGAATGAGGGTATCGCATATGTCAATCAATCTTTATTTGTGTAGCACCAATTCATAACAAATGTCATCTCAAGATCTTTACAAAAAGAGCAGGTATAGGCCGTACTCTCTGTTTGTGCTATTTACAAAGACCAAACAATAAGCCAACAGGAGTACAGCACTAAGCAACATTTAGCAAAGTTACAATGGCAGCGATAAACTTCCTTTAAGATGAAGAAAACAACCAGACGACCAGAGTGAAATGATGTAACCAAACAAAAGCTTCACACTGTGTGATAGGTTAACAATCCTGTGCTTGTATTAAATCCATGTATTTGCATTCCTGACCATTGTAAGGATTTATTTGTTTTTAATAATTTTGTCGTGTTTAGTTATAATGACACAAAATACAAAAAATGGGTGGTTTGCAGCCATTTTTGTCTCAAGACTTCATCTAGTGTCAGAGTGTTAAGTGCTGTTAATCAGACACATAATCTTTATTAATGTTATTATGTCATCAGCATGTGATTAATCCAGTGGCTCTGGATCAAACTGCTTTAAATAGATGATTATTCGTTCGTGCAAGGATGGAGCCTCTTAGGCAAAGACTTATTTTGGTGAATCTAAGTGTTTGTTGTTTGTAACTTGTGCCATCAATTACCCAAACACTAGTCCTCTGTGTGCTGAAACAGCTCACACTGGGCATTTAGGGAGGAAATGTCCTCAACAGAAAGACAAACGTGATGGTAAACTGTGCCTGGTAGTACCCAGTGATGCAACGTCTGGTGTCCATAAACATTAGCAAAGCAAAGCCACATTTGCATAACAGCCTTTATATGCAAATCATCCCTGGTAGATGCTCGCCTCCCTCACTATCCCTGCGAACCCACGCTAATTCCAGCTCCTCTGAGACCTCATAAGACTACAAATAAAAACACTCACGGCCATTAGAAGAGTTTTTCCCACGTACACACACACGCACACACACACACACACACACACACACACACACACACACACTGCGTCGATGCTGTGCTTAAAAATGAGGAAATCCAACACAAATGAAAAGAGTTGTGTTGTTTGGTCTTTGTGTTTGGAAGAGAAAAACAGTCTTCTTTCATCAGATTTGGAGATAAACAAGGTCACTGAGATTGTGTGTTTGTATTGCTCTGAGTCACAGTTTATTTAAATTACACTGTAATTAGAATTTACCATGCCTAATGTGAGTGTGATAAGACAGAGGTCCTGCAGGCTCCTGAACAGGAAGCCCGTGCAGATTCTTACACTTTCACACTTGCATAATGTGTTAATCATACGGATGCTCTGGATAGTGACATTGCTCTCCTCATATATTTTATTTGCTTTTTATTACTGGAGTTTTTGCAGGAATATAAATCCTGCTTTGAAGGAGGACCTTACTCTTAGTACTTGAGTGTTTTTTTTATTTTTTTATGTGTTATGGCTTGAAGGCGGTCTACTTTCAATCAAGTAAACATCCTCCACTGTCCCCGTTAGTCAGAAAACTACAGAGATTATTCCTTTTTTTTTTTTTTTTATCTCCTCCTGCCCTAAATCTGTGATGTTCCACCAACATGCTGCGTGGCTGAAATGGGATGCATTGAAAAGAAAATGACCCAGAGAGCAACCTTTGTGGTTTTTCTGCTGCTGCTTCAGATCAGTTAACTGCTTTTAACAGAAAGCTCAGCCGCAGTAAGGAGCTCAGGCAACATGTTACCAAACCACAAGGTCAGACTGCCTTTGATTTCCAACACAGCAGCTTGACTTTTTCTTCCATTTTGATAACAGTACTGGTTAGACTCTGGGCTCTGTGTTAATTCAGCTGGATGACATCAGTGACATTTATGGATCTGTATCAGCAGCTTTTTGTTTGTTTTTGTTCAATCTTGGTTCGTGCGTTTGTCCTTTAAGCAAAAGAAAGAGAGCTTCTTTTATTAAAATGTTCCTGTTGAACAGATGTGTTGTCAAGATTTAAGGTATTTAAATGTGTCTATTTGCAATCGCAAATGTGAAACAAAAGTTACCTTCTTTTAGTAAGTGACTCAGTTGCTCAGTCTTGGTTAAATACATTTTGTTTCTAAGGGCCTAAGTCCACTACGCAACAAATAGCATTTTCAGCCTACATTGCAAAAACACCCTCAGCTTAAGATGTTTTGTGTCACTGCCTTTCACATTTGAACTCTCTCAGGTGAAAGTAGTAACATTGCCATGCCAGTCAATCAATCAATCAATTCATCAATCATTAGACACTTTAGAAAGAGTATTTGGGATAATATCCAGGAAGGATTTCTCCGTTATATTCCTCGCGTTCCTGTTGTCCACACTTCCTTGCCGCTGAGGTGGAGGTCGGAGCAGGCCGTGCATGAATGAGGACGGCAGTGGCTGTGGGGACGACACAGTACAATAGTGGTGGCTGGTCGTCAGGCGGTGGTTGGGACGACACACTCTTAATGTTGGTGGCTGGGCTTAATAAAAAAGGGGCGGGAGTTCTGATATCAGCTTTGTCGACAACAACGGCTAAAGACCAATTAACCTGACAAGTCTTTTTGAGGGTATAGTTTCTGGATCTACAACTGCTGATGCCAGGAGATGATTCCTTTACATTCTTTTTAGGTTTGTCTACGGTTATATTTCTTTGAATGAAAGCAAATATCAAGCATACGGAGCGATTGAAAACAGACTTCATGGTCACTGCCGGGGAAAGTGGAAGTGCTGCTAGCCAACTGCTGTGCCTTGAGAAGCGCTCTGAAACTGAGGTTAACAAAAGTCGTTACTGAACATCCCATAGCAGTGTTACTATATGTCTCCATAAAAATAAGCTGACAGCAAGATAAAGCTGGGAAACAAGGCCAGTCTGAATGCCTGAAAACTGCTCCGTTTGCAGTGAGTTTGCTTCAAAAATAATACAGACATGTTATATAATTGCTAATATACAGAGTGCAAAATCTGGACTGATAATGAACCATCTTAAAGCCTCTCTATTTGTTGAATGATTGATTGGTTGTTTTGGCCAGTGTTTGCCATCTTTTCATTTAGTTCTTGTTAATCTTCCAGTCTTTCACTGCTGATTCTGCCCTTTATGTGCTTGTACATTATTCTCTACAGAAAAAATCTCATTCTGATCCTCTGATTTCTCACAGGCTAATGTTCTACACACATTACAGACTCATTTGTGGTATCAGGTATCCTCATTGCACCAGGAAATACAACAACTCATCATCAATAGTAAATCATAAACACCCTAAAAATGAGGTATATTAGAATGTGAGGAGAACAAATAACAGCTGTAGAGTGCCAGTGGAGAACGTAAACGCCCTTGAGCAAGGCACCTAACCCCCCCACCAGCTCAGGAGCGCCCACTGTGGGCAGCCCCCTCACTCTGAAACCTCTCCATTAGTGCATGTCCATAGGATCCTGTTTGTGCATGTGCATGTGTGTGTATTTCGGCCTATGTTTGTGTAGCATGTTAACTAGACCGTGTAAAAACGAATTTCCCCTCGTGGGATCAATAAAGTATACATTATTATTATTATTATTATTGATGTTGTGCAAAGCTTGCAAATCTTTTAAATCGGCGTATCTCCACAAAAAATTACAGTATGTATGTATACCCTCATTGGTATTAGAGAGGTATGTGATATCAGCAGGAGGGATTCATAGTTAGAAATATTTGGTCTTCTCAGGGGAGGCCTGGTGTGCTAATGAAGATCATGTGGAGTCATTCATTTTACATTGACTGTTTTTATAACCAAGTTCAAGGAGTTTGGAGTATGGTTCATCCAAACATGAGTAAATGAGAAAGTCATGCTTGCTCTAGTCTAGTACGTGCCTTTTCACAGTAAGGTCACAAAGAGCTCCACAAAATATTACCAAGCTAACAATAACAACAATGAAACTCATTGACGATGAACTATAAAGACAGAAACACTACAACTGTTACATCACAAAAATGTCATCCAAATGACAGGTGGTCGAAAGCCAAACATGAGTGTTCAGTACGCTCATTAAAAACATCAGTAACTGCAGAGCTTTCAAAGTGTCAGAGCCACGTCATGGTCATCATCTGTTTTCAATCGGACACGAAGGGCCAATGAGAAGATCTCGGCCGGCTATCTTGAAGCTATTGGAGAGAAAAAGGGAATGGGTATAATGCGACTTGACCTGCTGGGCCTAGTTAGCGACCGTAAAGCAGCTTTTTGTAGACGGTCGAGGGAGGGAAGCCAGGAAAATGCAAGAGCATCTCTAGCTCAGATTTTGAGACAACGGATTTCAATTTAGCAGTGTTTCTTTTTTAAGATTAATTTTGGGGGCCTTTTATGCCTTTATTTTAGAGATGGGAATGTGGACAGTGTCAGATACTGGGGGTAAAGAGAGCGGGGAACGAAATGAATGAAAGGAGCCACAGCTCTGACTTGAACCCGGGCCGTCCGCTCTTGAGGACTTTAGCACTGTGTACACTAAGATGTTTACTAAGTAAAGAAACAACACTTAATAATTATTTAATATGTTGATCAAAACGATTCTAAGATTTTATAGATTTGATTTTGTCATTCCTTTTATTTAAGCTAAACTCAAAATTCAAACCTGATAACTATTCATGCACAAGTGTATTTTTGTCTGATTTCTTCGGAGTCTGAATGCAAAACTTAACTTAAAGACTGAACATTTAAAACACATAGGGAAACGGGCAACAGCGCCTTTTCCTTACAACACAGGAAAGCAGCTCAGCAACAAGACATGTTGTGGAATCGACGTGACTCACTTTCTCTCGACTAGAGAAACTTGCCCTCCACCCTCACTGTTCCGCTGTCTCCACCTACACATGTAACCTGCAGCTGAATGTATCAAATTCATAGCTACGTTTGCAGCAAGTCACCCTTGCTGTGAAGGAAATCAGTTATAGGAGTGGAAGTGCATGAGACAAACTGACATACATAATAAATAATAGCATGTCACCATGAAGACATGGAATGCAAGAGGATGAATCCTTCTTGTGATAACATTTGTTCCTGCTTTTACATCATATTAGCGTATTGATTAAAAATACGTTTTGTATGATGCATGATTCATCCCAACTCTGCACACATCATTTTTTACCTCCAATTATTAAGATTTCAAACCATTCTCCCCCAACAACATACACACAAGTGTTCAGCTCTTTCATCTAAACCTGGCCGAATGTTTGTGCCTTGTTCCAGGACTCGAGGAGGAGTCCCTCCCCTGCATGCAGCAGTTCCCCGGGGAGCAGCACCCAGAGGAGCCCCGCCCAGCCGGGCTCCATCTTCCAGAGGGAGGGGGGTTCAGAGAGCCAGAGGCACACCTCCAACCGCCGGATACAGACCAGCTCCTCCCATAGTTCAGGACACATATGGAGAATACGTGAGTACAAACAAAATGCATCCATAAAGGTGTCAAGTCAGAACAAGTCAGCAACAAGACCACACACATTCACAGAAAGGAATTGTCTCCATAATAGGACTTTAACTCCCCATTTATTTGCTGATACATTTTTAAAAACATTTTCTAATTTTCTCTGAATTTATATTCAAGGTCCCAGTTATCACTGGAGCAGAATATCAGTGAGTTGTTATTGCACCTCCACATTGATTTCAAACAATGGTCAAAAATCAGAGCTGTGAGGGTCATTTGCATTCTTGTATTGTAAAATAACCTGAAGTTGGTTGTATTGGTTTAGCTGCTTTATTCACCACACACTAACTTTGTCATTATATGTGACTCCATGCTTGTGACATTGAACAATATTGTATATGGTTCCATTGTCCTTGTCCCAAAAAAAAAAAAATTCCCTCTGAGAGTCGTAAAAAAATCACAAGTTTCATATTCTTGAAGTGGGTATGATATTTAGTTACTTTAACCACATACCCCCCCATCACTGAGCTCAAAAACAACTGAGTTCCCTACAACTGTGGAAGATGGATAAGAACCAAATAACTGATACGTTTTCTTTGGAAACACAACAGCCCTTGATTGTTGTCTGTAAACAAATGGTGCACAAGAACTGCTCATAGTGAATTGACAATGTTAAAGAGAAGCGCAAATATGTCAACTTAAATTTTCCACATTAGTTATAGTTGACTGCTGACACACGAAGTAGGTTTTTGAGGGTTGTTAGTGTCTCTTTTTTGTCCCAATGAGGATGCACTGCACTGTATCAAACTGCTATGGACAGCAACATTTCTGATTTACAGGGAGCACAAATAGAATTAGATAATGTCTCTGAAAGGAGAATTAGAGATGAATAACTCAAAACCCAAACTTTTTACATGAGAGGGTCCATGAACTGTTTCCCCAGGACACATTTCCACTGCAGATATTGATCATATCAAAATAAAAGAACAAGCCACCAGGGCAGTATGGGACACTGTAAGGGAGTCACTGGCCTTTATGTCAATGTATCAACAAAAAGAAGCAAGCATGCACACACAATACTGAAAAAAGCACAGATTTTTGACACTTGGGGTGGGGTCCCCATTTATTTTTAATTATCACCCCATACTAACACTCAAGTGTAGAAATATTGAGATCAATTGTTTTGTGCAATGAAGAATTTTTGCAGTCTTTCCTTGTTTTTGTTGCTTTTTTATTGCCCTGCACATATGGGATGTGCATCTTCCAATACGACAATTTAGCAATATGTGTGGCTATCTTTGCCTTAGACTTTGGTTAAATTAGCCTTTTAAAGCACACAGAGTATAGCTGCTTTGGATATCAGTCTTTATGAGTGTACCTTGAACATTGCTATGTGAGGTGTAAGCATAGTATGCATTTGTTATTCACCATAATTCTTATTTGGTACTGCATACCTGCACAGTCTTATGGGAGCTGGCTGTAATATCAACAGCTACCAGAGGTGAATATATTAGGCTTAGAGTCAGAGCCTTTGTGCATTTGCCAGGAGAGTCCCGCCGCACTGTCAAGGCAACTTCCCCAGAGACCCCGGCATCAACATTGCATATTTAGCAGATAGAAGGAGGAGAGGAGGTGGCCTGCGTTGGAAAATTGCCCCAGCAGCCCATACCTAACCACATCTGACAGGTTTATTCAGAGGTTGCAATTCAAATGTGTGGAGGTCGTGGGGAATGGCTCCGCGACCAGCTGTTTCCCATCATTGTCACAGTTGTAACTGCATCCCTAACACCTGCACCTGTGTATGTGGGTGCAGACAAAGGAGCCCCAACATCTGCCAGATGATAAATCTAACAACATCACAACAAATTAGAGGTAGAATGTGTTTGACTCTATATTATCTGAATAGATCACTTTCCCAGGACAAGCGTTCTCCATCGGGCGCTGACAAATAGGCCCTTGTATTCATCAATGAAATGACAAAGAGGTTTCATGTTCACATTTGTGGCCTCCATTTGTCTCTGCTTTATATCCAGTCATATGCGTGTTCCCTCCACGCTCATTTTTTCTGCTCGACATCGCCATGGGCCAAAACATTTGTTCAGCTGGAGGCGTTTTCTTCCCCTCTTCTTGTTCTGACAAACAGCACCAGACCTAGGCTACCTCTCAGTGATCTTGTCACTAAGACACATGGGTGTACATTATCTTTGTCTGGATGGGTTTTTGGTTTGCACAATCCACTCATGGTTAAACTTTTATTCAAGCATTAAATGACTGAGAATCCAATTGTTTCCAAACTAAATCACAGAGATGCTATTATCCTCTGATCCCACCTTGGCAGCCCCATCAGTCTTCAATGGTTGCAGCCAAATCTCATTTCATGTAAATCATCAAGTGTATTGTGATCTCCATCCTACCTGCTGCTAATCCCATTGGAGAAGAATTACACTGGATGTAATTCTCATTTCACAAATGAGGCTGCATGTCATCTTTGTGTGCAGTTACATCATTGCCAATATTTAAAAAAAATCCCACAGAGGCCAATCAAAGTCCCTGAGCTCCACCTCTATTGCCTTAACCTAAAGCCTCTATGTACTTGCAACAGCATGTGTTGTATTCACACAGAAGCTTTATTCCTTTAGGTGAGCGGACCATGAAATGTGAAATGCACATGGGCTGCTGGTGTTTATGTTAAATCCTCTGGACACGGTAATCTTTTCTGAGCCTTGTGGGTCCTCGCTGAGCATTTAAAATAAACTCTTCCCCTCAGGCTCTTCTCTGCTTGTCCAGTCCTGCTGAGAGCCAGGCATTGTTAATTGAATCATGTTCTCTATGGCGCCGTCCTTGTAACCGTTTTTTTTTTTTTTTTTTTTTTATCTAAATAGTATAATATAGTGAGGAAAATATATTTCAGATACAATCATAAAGATAAGATTAATATCTACTCTCATGGGACAAAACTAGTTATGTGTTTCATCCCTTATACATGTGAATCTTCTGAAAATCCCAGCAGAAGTTTAAGTATTTAAATAATCATCTTTGCAATTCTGATAAGTAAGGTATTATTTTTAATGTGAGCATTTTAGCATACTAACATTAGTGATATGTTAAAGTGCAACTCCCTACTTCCTATCCTACTTGACACTTAGATTAGGGTCGAGCAAAGCGCCTGATGTCCAGATGTCAAATGACCAGTCCAGATGTCATTCCCACACCCTGACAGACAGTTTGCTCTCTGATGGTGCTTTCTCTAATCCACACAACATACACACAAACACACACACACATGTAACATAAAGGTACATCTATTGGCCTCAAGCATATTTAGCAGTTCCAACAACAATCATATCCACATATCTTTATACTGACTGCTCAATGTTTCTTGTGTAGAGAATATTGACGAGCTAGATTTCAGCAGCAAAATAAGTAAAGCAAAGATTTATGGCCTGATTTGCATTGATGGTAGGCAGACAGATGGTCTTTTACATTTGTTCATGATTGTGTGTTTTAAATTTAATCTGGGATTGAAAGTGCCTCATGCATTAAAAGATACAGGGTCTCTTTAAGTGTGTAAATTATCTTTTGCTTTCTGCTGTGGAGGGATCCCTACAGTGGATATAGTTGCACATCACAGTCATTCATATCGGGCATGTCTGTGCTCAGTGTCTATGAGTGCAAAACAGAAGGCGTGAAGTCAAATGAACCGGATTCTGACACGAACCTGCCGCTTTCACGTGAACGTCTAAATTCCACATGACAAACACTGCACAACATCCAGGCTCATCTTGCTGATGTGTGGTATGGGAGATGACGCTCTGATTGTTTTAATTGTCTTTTATGGAAAACGCCACAGGACTAACCAACTATCAATTAAGAGACTTGACACAATAGTTGTGTACCTTGCACTTTACATTGCACCCAGATTATGTGCGCTTTAATTTTCTGCAAGGGCCTAAAATGCACCGGCACCATGCATGCATGCATGCACTATGAACTAAGGACTCTTCCTCATTTAAATGATACAAATACACTAGTCAGCCATGCTGTGTACAGCTTGTATTTTCTAGTTTCTTCCCACAGTCCAAAGACATGCTGTGTCTGATAACTCCTCAACACCCTCAGGTTGGAATGTGGGTGTTAATGATCATCCATGTGTTGGCCCAGTGAGAGACTGCTGACCTGTCCTGATAACACTCTGCCTCTTTTCAACGGAGATCTTCAAAAGGTCCCAGACCCTTACTCAGAGGATAAATGAAAACATATTGTTGCATTATAGTTAGTGATATTGGATTTCATATTAAAGCTAAGCTGTTTGCAAGAAAGAGTATGGCATGAGTTTCCTTGATACACAGCTGAGACAGCTGTCTCAAAAGGCAAGAAACCGAAGGAGGTAAAGAAATAACAGTAAGGAAAAGTAAGACATTTGTCAAGTGTAACACAGGGTAGTGATACTTCAACTTGATGCATGGGCCAACTTTTTTGGCATCCTCAATCTGATCGTTTTGAGTTGTATTTCTACCCTTGCAGCAGAAAAGTTTCAACAAATGCAAGCCCCTTTTTTATTTTTTATTTTTTAGCTTACTGGAATATGCCGTCAGGAGGAGCTGAATAAATGACACCCAGCTTTGTGAAATTTTAAGACTAAGACAGACGACCGGGGGGTTACAAATGCTTGGTTATTTGTTTTTCTTAAGGCAATAACACGGGGTGTTATTTTGCTTTTATAGTTAAAAAGTTAAGAGCAATGTGTGGCACAGCTGTGCGGAGGCGCAACATTTATCTTTGAACAGATGGTATCCTAGTCAAGCCGCCTGAGAACAGGGCTTTACATCTTCTTTTGATTTGCTTAATTTTATCGCTTTGTTGTTTGTCTCTCTGACACCTTTTGGGTCTCAGCACAGACCGAGCAGCATGTGCAATTTCGACAAAGTTCATAATGTGAGGACAATTTGTCGGTAAACTCATTTGGATTTAGTACAGGGAACAAATCCAGTGGCTGAAAAGCTTGCTCT